GTCAGGAGATCTTGGCCGTGTTCCAACTGCTGCCGCAGATATCCTGTCTGACGCGGGGCGGGGGGTCACTACCGACCCCACATGTCTGCTCATCTACCAAACTGGGATGTGAAAGCTCCCACACAGCACAATACTTTGCCAGATGTGTTGTTGAACTTCATGTGTTTATGTTTGTGGAGAGAACATAGGATGAAAGGCATTACAGAAATGCAAGATATGATTTGTTATGATTTAAAAGCCATTCTGGTTTAGCAGTGCTACTTTCAAATATTTGCACCCTGCAGGCTTTTCCAGATAAGGACTCAAGCCCAGCTTTTCTTTTCCGGTCCCATTTTTTAGAGAAGCAGAGTGGTTTCCAAGCCCTATGGAAACGGGTCTTTGAGCTTGCCCGCTGCAGCCTGTGTGACTGCAGGGACCAGGCTTGTGGCTCCACAGACGTGGAGGCATGAAAAGCAGTCCCTGCGCTCGCCTCTCTTCCCTGTACCTACCTACGGATGCACTTCCTCCCCCGGCTTCATCCCACACATCCATCCTTGCGGATGCATGCAATGAAGGTGGCGCAAACCCAGCCAGGGCTTCAGCTGCGTCCATTCCCTGGTGCCTGGGAGGAACCAGGAGAGAGGGAATGAGTGGCAGGGGAAGTCGAGGGGAGGCGGCTGTTTCGCGGTTTCCATGCTAGAAGCATAATCTGCGTGCCTGGCATGCAGTGTCGGGGTGTAGGTCTGCAATGCCATTTTCTTGGCAGGGCCAGCATTCCGAAGAGTCCCATTCCTCCATCCTCTGCATCACAGTTCGCTGCTGGTGCCTGAATTGTGCGGCTAAAGCTGGGCGGCAGCTCTGTGCACCCAGGCCTTGGGAAGCTCCAGATTAACAATAGAAAATGGAGGTTTTTCTTTGCTTGCTTTGCTTTGAGGAAGGGTTGTTTTTTCAGTTGGGGTCATTGTGGTGAAGCTGTTCACAGAGCAGCGCTGTAAACACATTTCCCAGCGGAGTGGATGTTGGGGAGATGAAATTCAGCTTGCGAAGGACCTGACTGGCTGAGCCAGGACTGCCCTGGTGCCAATTTTGCCAATTTACACAGAGCTCAGGCTGAAGCAGGGGAGGGAGAGGAAGAGGAGGAAGAGGACAGGAAGCCCTGAGGCTGGCATCACCAGGGGCGTAACTGTAAGAAGGACCCACCTCATCTCTGGTATTTGGTACTTCTGCCCAGGTGCCTGGTGTGAGGTTGGGTGAGGGTGAGAATAAACCATGTGGGACCTCTCTGTGCACCTGTTAAAATGCAGTAATTTGAAAAAGCGGAGGGTGCTAAAGACAAAGAAAATGGAATTTATAGATTTCTGTGTTACATCCTAAAATAAATATGATGTGTTCCACTGCCGGAGGAGGCAGCAAGCGCCTGCCTGCTCGAAGGACGGTTTTCCCTGCTGAGCCCTCTGGCCGTGTGTGACGGCACTGCTCAGATACCCTGTCCCCTCTTTCCTGGTCTCCCCATGTTCAGCCGCATCAGTCCTGGGCTCCCTTGCCTCAGGCTCGGGCAGCGAGGGGTTGGCAGCTGAGCAGGGTGGCGAAAGGCCCCGAAAGCGGCAAGTGGGGACCTGCCAGCTCCAGACTACCAACGGTTTAGCCCAATCGAACGCATCTAATTTCTCAGTCACCGCTTCTTGCGCACATGACCTGTTAAAAGGATTAAATTAAAAGAATTCCCAGACCTAATCTGGTGATGATATGATGAGAGACAGGAGCTCAAGCATATCCCAGAGGTGGCTGATCGGGTTTCCTAGGATGTATTATTTATGGGGCCATCTGCTTGAGACAAGTATTGAAGTCTGAAAGGGAGGAGGATTTTGATGGAATTAACTCATTTAACTGAGATGGGGGATGCTGTGGGTTTCCCCCCCCAAAAAAAAATGCTGCTGCAGTTATTTATGGAATAAAGCTGGCAGCAGAATACCTGTGTGCCGATGCCTTCAACAAAATGCTGCTCAGCTCTGAGAGCTCACCCATGTCCTCACAGAAAGGGCCATTCATAGCATGAGGGAGAGAGGTATAAATGCATTCCAGTCTGAATTACTGGTACGCAGGCTGTGAAATACAGCCGTATAAACAGAGCCGTGGCTGGAATGTGAGGAGGCAGGGGCAGCAGCCAAAAAAGGCAGAGTCTGCAGAAAAACAGGAAGAATTTCACCAAAATAGCTGGTTTAGTTACTGTATAGCTCAGTAACAGCAGGATTTGTTTACCGCTATTATAGGCAACACAAAGCAAAATCTCAAATGTAAAAAAAGAAACTGTCTCTCTCTCTGATTTGGGCTGACATGTTATTTAAATAATATGGGTCAAGAAATCTGAAATAAAATATCTTCATGAACAGGATTTGTGTTCTTTCCCTTCTTGTCCGTCCCCTGGTGCTAAAAGCAGCCACCTTCTGCTGACATTTCCCCGTCACAGTTGCATCATCAGATTTCTAAATATCGGAGCTTCCTCAGGCTAATGTCTAAGCCTTTCTTAGTGATCAGGAATTAAATTCCTCTCAAAGCTTTAGTTGGGAAGGTTCTGCTAAGCCTTTACGTAGAAATTTGCTGGAAGCTACCTGTCAGTTTGCTGCCCATCTTCCAGTAATTCAGACTAATGACTCGTCAACCCCCCCCCCCCTTTTTTTTTTTTTTTTTCCTTTTCTCTTCTCTCCAAGAGTTTCTTTTCCAGTAATTCAGACTAATGACTCGTCAACCCCCCCCCCTTTTTTTTTTCTTTCTTCCCTTTGCATCTGTCTAGAAGTAGCTTTCTGCTCCAGTTATCGGTTTAATAACACAAGGCTATCTACTGAGGTGAAATTCTCACCCAGTCTTACTTGATTTGTCTCATGTCTGTTTTCATAATCCTTATTTTGTTAGTTATTACAAAAAAAAAGTAATCTGGTTGTAGATTTGTACCTCTGAATTGGGGCATTGCTTAAGAGCTGTTCTCCTGGACACTGGACCTATGCAGGAAAGTCCCGATGCAGGGAATTATGTTTCCTTCCGATATGCGACTTGTGGTACTGATCCATGTGCCAAATGTTCAGGCAGGGAAACGCAGCCCGTGGAAGGAGCCTGGATCAGGCCGTACACGGGGATTATTCTCACTCGTGAGCTTTGCTGCGGTGTCTTTCCAATGTAGCTGCCCCCCGCAAGCGGTCCCACCCCGCCCCCGGCCATGGCATACCGAGACACTGTCGGGCTCTTCTGGCTGGGGGACAGTGCCGTGGGACGCGGTGGCCAGGCGGAGGGAGCAGCGAAGCTCCCCCACGAGTGGCCTTCAGGCTCATCAGCATAACCGGTCATCCGTGAGGGCCTACGGCAAAGGGCTGGGTGTCCTCAGCACCCCCTGCCCTGTGGTGCCTGGACAATAAGGGTCAGGGCGCTATGAGTTGGGTGCATATAGTAGAGGAGAGTTGCATGAAGCCCCAGCTGTGGGGCCACGTGGGAGCTTCTCTGTGCATGCTGCCGTTAAGGCACGGCGAGAGCAACACCTTGGCACGTGCTTCAGTCCCTAAAGACCCAGCAAGGTGCATGCAGTGCAGACCAGACACAAACCCGCATGAAGTTTACCACCTGGGGACATGCACTAGCTTCTTGTTGCAAAAGCCTGAGTTAGCAAGGTGATAAAAAGCAACCAAGCCACTGGAGTCCCTTTTTGTTCCCGTTGCTGTAAGACTGTTACCAGCGGCAGATTTGTCTCTCCTTCTCCCAGCCCAAAAGCCTCCTGAGAACTGGATTTCTCTCCCGAAACTGCTCTGGTTGGCAGCCCTTCAACTACTGCAGGGAAATGACTCACAAGGGACAAGACCTTTTGGCAGGACAGAGGGCCAGGGATTTTAAAGCCCCTGCAGGACAAAATACTGAAGGGGCTGGCATCAAGTGGCTTTTGAGCAGGTGTCTCTGCAGAGGCTTCTTCATTTTCCAGCAAACCAGGCAGAAGAGTCATGAGAGCTTCCTAAGGAATACCTACGAGCAAGCAGCATCGTTCCCCACTATGTGTTTGTACAGCCATTATCACGAAGTGTTTGGCTGCTGCCACCCCACAATTAAATCAAGGATGAAATCCAGTCTGCCTGATTTCACCTTTCTTAACTGCCGCCGTGGCTACACCGCCACACTGGGTGGCAGTGCTTCTTCAGTTGCCTTTTTTGCTCAGGATAATGTTCTGCCAGGTGGCTGGAACAACCTCACCCCTCGCTGTAGTTCGAAGGGGAACCCCATTGCTCAAGTTCAGCTGCCCATTTCCACATCCTCCCTGGTCCCATGTCATATGCTTGTTGGGTGCGTCACTGCCACTCACAAAGCCAGCTAGGAGAGCAGCCCACCTCCGCTGTTGCTGTGTTAGTCTTCTGCCAGCTTAGTGAGCTAAACTGGCTGGGTGAAGAGACGTGCTGTTGGAGCCAAGGTGACGTAAGCAGTGAGAGCAGATCCTAGAAGGGATGAAAGGAGAAGAGAGGGTGTTTATGGTGGTGAGCCATCAGGGTGGCTCAGTCTCATCTGACTTGGTCCTCAACCCTGCCTGATGCCCTCCTGTCCGCTGTGCTGTGGCTCATTCAGTCAGTGACAGGGTGGATCAGGAGATCAGGTGAAGTGACGGGGAGGTTGTTTCTCTTTTTTCCCTTGGGGTACTTGCAGCCAAAGCCACCTTCCTGATCTGGATCGCTGCATGGTGAAGAGTTGTGTGGGCAGACACAACAGTGTGGGAAGAGGCAGGGCAGGGATTGCTTAGCCCATCTCTGCTGTTAAAAAATGTTCACTGCATCGGAGCCTCAGGGACCAAACTTGAACTTACATTTTAGTTTTCTAGGAGGGCAGATCTCTTCAAGTAAGCGCCGATGTTTCCTGTGAAGTCAATGAAGAACAAAAAAAGTTTTGGAGGCTTCCAGGTCCTGTTCCTTTAGGTTTAGGTGCCTACACTAGGTGGATTGGGTTTTGCACAGTAAACAGCAAGCCACAGTAGTGGTATTTTTGAGGTGTGCACGATCATGTTACTTCCAAGTGGTGGCAGTAAATACAGTCTTGCTTCTCAGTACTCCTACATGAATGTGGATGTGTGTCTGGTTGGCTTTAGGTGAGCCCCGCGTGGAATATTCGAGCCTTTATGCAGCTGCACGCAGCTGCTTCACCACTGTATGTGCAGATACATGCCATGGCCACAAGTATTCACACCCATGTGGCCAGACATCCTGAGGTATGATCCAATGGGTACATCCATTTCTGCTGAACGTCTGAATATGTATCTTGTCTTAGCTGTTCTGGCACTAAAAATACATAATGTGCCTCCAAAATACAGCTTTAACTGCATCAAAAGTTTCTTTAAGCTGACTGTGATTTCCTTAGGCCATTTGCAATGTTACTGGGATGTCCCACTGAAAACCAGACCTTTTCAGTACGCAGATGCCACGCTTGTTGTCTGCCCCTGACTAGTTACAGAGTCCAAGAATTTATTTTGATATTACTGATGTCCATTCTGTTTATTCCTCCTGGATTATCCATCACAAGAGGTAAAAAACACTGCGCCTGGAGTAAAACATAGCTTTGCTGCCACAGCCTTGTGAGGTTTTGAGCACAGCTGGCATTTACTAGGAGTATGGGTCTTTACAAGATGGAGCCTTATTTCCTGCAGTAAGGTGAGCTTGCAGGTCATGCCTTCTCCCTCTGGCCCTCCCGCTGACCCTAGGTGTGCCATTCCTCCACGCACCTCCTGCCTGCTGGCTCTCGGCTCTGCTGCACCAGCGGATACTGGCTCCCAAAACCTGCAAGAAATTAAAGAGCACGGAAATCCTCCCGGGTGCCTGCCGCTCATCGTACAGCTGACACAAAAGCCCAAATTCCTTTTACATGAGAACACGGTACATCTGCTTGCAATCATCTTTCTCCAGGCAGCTGGCCTGATTAAGCAGAAATGCGATTCTCCATGCTTGGACTGGGGAGTGCTCAGCAGACGCCTGCAGCCGAGGGGCTGGGATTCGGGAGAGGCAGAATAAACGCGCCTTTCACGCCCGGCATCCCCAGCAGTCCTGTGGCTCCCGCGCTCGCAGCCTTGGTCGCTTCTTGCCCTGCTTGCAGGAGGCAAGGCAGGCTGAAATAAAGAGAAACTTGTTCTGTGGCAGGAAAAGTCATTTCTTCTGGCCAGGCATTTGGGAAGGAGACAGGAAGCATATTATTTTAAAGGTAAACTGATAAAATATTTGTTTGCTGGAGGAAGGGGAGGAATGTCAAAAACATGTCAGCGTGCTTTGGAAAAAAATAGTGTCATCTTACTCCTGCCCTGATAACAACTGCGGGGTGTCGTAAAGAAATGTTGTAGCCTTCAGCGGTCTGTAGCCTCATGCAGGGTATTTTCCTTGCTGGAAGGATGCTCTTTGTCCGTCTGTGCATGCGTGTGTGTGTTTGCGCACAGGGGTGTGAATGCACACTCCGTAGCAGCAGAAATGGCTAAAAATATTAAGAATAAAGGACAGTGAGCGGACACAGAGGAATATTAGCAGAATCTCTGGTAATGTTATTGCTTGTTTCTTAATATTTTCTTTATTGCAGCTGACCAACAAGGAAACAACTAAAAACCTCTACTTTAATGAAAGCAGCTGTTTGTAGCACAGATGCGTTACGGTATCTACTTTTGTAGATTTGTCAGATTCCATTTCAAAACTTGCCTTTCATGCTGCTACAGAACAGGATCGAAAAAGTAATTTATAGGTACAATTAAGAATACCACATTTGGGAAATAAAGGGAAAGTATTTTTAACACAAGCAAGCTTGACAATTTAGTAGCTCATCTTCACTGTGATTCCTGAAAGCAAGCTGAAGGCAGCGGCCGCAGTATAGTTTTAGTCCTCAAATCTGTTCATCAGGTAATATGGTTGTAAAGGCTAGGTTGCCCCCACACCGCCCAAGACCGTTTTTTACCAGCGCGTAGTCCAGATAGCCTGAGGACTTAAGCCAGGTCTGCAGAAGGTACTTTGCCGGCGCAGCGATGCAGTTGTAGCCGCAGTGCCCCCAGGGCAGGCATGTCCCAGCCCAGCCGCAGCGTCCCTCCGTTTGGACTGACGAAAACGGTCAGAAGCGACAATTTGCCACATCCCTGACTGACGGTGCAGGAAAATGCTGTGCTGGAAGGCTGGGCAGGGGGACTTCGGTTAGCTCAGCCTGCTTTGTGTTTGCTCTTCAGAGGCATGCGGTTAAATTGGGCACGGACTTCTCCTAAACTCTTTGAACTGAACTCTTACCAAGACCTGCCAAGGTCTTGTTTTGGGCAAACTCTATTCTTGGCTTCAAACAAATGCCTAATAGAGAGGAGAACTCTCCTGAATAAGTCTGACTCTGGGCATTTTTAGGAATCTAGCTGGTTTAGAGAAGTTCTTAATATAAGGGTAGGGTGGAAGAACATTGTCCCTTAACAAGTGCAGGGAACGGTGATGGACAGACACTGCGTTAAAAAATTTTGGCATGCAGGGGTCTGTTCACATGTCTGCACATTTGAACATTGCAGTTTATTCACCTGTATTCATGTACACATGCAGAATTTTAAGGTGACGGTAGAATGACCTATGCTAGTGCATGAAGATTCAAAGGGAAACATCTGTCGTTAAAAAACAATAGGTAAAAACATTTATTTAGCACAGGCTGAAATATAGAAATGTTTGCATGCTGTGTTTGGCTTGACTGACTATAGGCAAGACTTAAGAGTTGTCCGAAAGAAACTCTGCGGAATCTGATATTTTCTGGGGCTTCTCTCCTAAATGTTCATTTGGATGTTGCAACATGCTGACACTCTGTAATAAATCCATTTGGGTATTGTTTAGAGGTCTCACATTCAATGCCTTTTTTTCATACGGCTTCATCCCCTGTGAATGCTAATGCAGATATACAGAGATGAGAAGCTCTCCGATGATTAGACACAGACAGGATGCCTTCAAGGCTGTGTCAACGGCCTTTGAAAATATTGATCGCCAAGCGTGGTTACCGAGAAAAGATGCTGAAGCCTTTGCAATCGAACAGTTAACAGAGCGTGGATCCAACCTGGATTTTCAGTTATAGGACGGATAAGCCCTTATGTCAGTCCGTCCCTGTGGCAGTTGGCCAGTCTGATGGTTGGGCCTCAATGTAGCGATGGGAAAATGCACATCTTTTGTTGTTCTGCTTTGTGAAGGCTGTGCTTGTAGAGAATATTCTTACTACTCGCCACGCAGCTTTCATCCTCAGCGGGAGGCACAAGCACAAGCCTTTGACTTCTAGGAGTAAATGTAATTTGTCAAGGCCTTACAGAATCGGGTCCCGCTCTTGCCCCTTGGTCTTTCCGACTTGTTACGCTACCACCCTTTGCCTGCTCTGCGGCTTACCTGCAGCCCCTCTGCTCCTCGTCGCTCTGTCATCAGACGTCATCCCTTTTCAGGTATTGCCTTAAGCCACTGCCGTGCAATTGATGGGAAAATGGTAACGGTTAGGTTGAAGGAAAGTTGGCTTCAGCTGGCATTTTTGTATAAATTTGGAGCGATCAACTTCATAGGGGATTTGTAAACGTACAAACTCTGTGCTACCACCTGTCTTTTCCTTCCTTTCACTTCTGAGAGAGATGCGTTGGTTTTAAGGCTAGAAGACATCACTCTGGGCTGACCGCCTGCATAATTCAGATCCTCTGACATCCCTGTATAAACTCATGTTTCAGGATCAAGAAGAGTACTTGTGACAGAGACTGTCTTTTAGCAAAAAAAAAAAATTATCTCCCCTTGATTAAGAAAGACCCACATAGTCCAAGACCATCCTTCTGAAGTTGTTCCACTGCTGTCCAAGAAAAATGCCTTGTACCCTCCACGTGCTTGTCAACACCCATCTGATGGTTTTCCCCAGGAGTTAGACACTGAGCCCATTACACATCCAATTAGGTTATAAGCACTCCAGAAGGGAGGCTGCTTCGCTATCTGCACATGCATCGCCCGTGCACAGAATTCAAATATTAGTAAACAAAATATACATGTTTCATAACTGTAATGGTTCTTGTCACAAACGCAGCCTCAGATCATTTTGGATAATTTATTCCTGAAGCTGCTCACATAGTCTGGGAAGGGCAAAGGCAGATACCTTTTCCAATCTGCTGCTATGCAGAGAATGTGTTTAGATCTTGGAATAATATTCCTGGTTTGTATTGTTTATTTACATATAAGAGTTTAGCTCTCTGTGTGTGAGAGCTTATTTTAAATGAAAATATATGATGTTTAAGTGGAAACCAGAGATGAATATGGGATTGAAACCTCTGATGAAATAAGAGGAGGTGGAATTTGTCCATAATGAATCCAAATGAAGGTATTCTGTCAGCCTTTGTTTTACTTTGGTTCTTTTTTAGCCTAGCCTGGAGTTGTCTGGGCGCTCGCACGGAAATCAATCATCTGTGCCTTGGGCAGCAGGGTCTCTCCCTGGCTAGGGGAGACTGATCGATTGTTTCACATATTGAGACCGTAGGTTTGATGGGAACTGTATAGGAATGGTGACAGTAGTGGAGATTTGAGGGTTTTGGCTTCTTTACTAAAATATATACCTTACAACATATGTTCCTTTTTCAGATAAAAAGAAAAAGCCCTCTCTCTGCTGTGTATTTCTCTCTTCTCTCTGCTATGCAGTTCTCTCCTTCCTCTCCAAACATTTCAGTACGGCTTGTTTTAAGCGCAAAATAAATTAACAAGTTATGCAAGATTAGTACTATGGAAAAGCTTTTCCATAGGCATATTTAGTGGCTTCGTAATGATTCAGAGATTTAGTTATACTGGTATTGGGGTGGGGTTTTTTTTCTTTAGCACGATTTCTAGTGCTACTATGTAGCACTGTTTCTCATGAAATGGCCAACCCAAACCACACGACAAAAAATTCGTATGAAATGATCAAGGATAAAATGTTGACTTTGCTAAACCCAAGGACACGTGTTGCATTTGAATCAACAGGACCAGGATTCTTCTTGTCCAGGTGCCTAAAATTTGCTCAGCAGCAGGCCAGGCGAGGTCTCTGAAAAATGTTCTCCCACGTCAAGTACTGCATGCTTCAAAGTGTGACTGATCTGTGCTCCCCAAGTTTTTCTGC